CTTGATGGCAGATATGTAATTATGCTGTTTATTTGCCATTTCTCATGCGTTAGGGTTTAAACACTCGGACACTTATTCGGACCCTCTTGCATGATGGCAGATATGTATTTATGGTCTTTACTTGCCATTTCTCATGGATTAGGGTTTAAACACTCGGACACTTATTCGGACCCTCTTGCATGATGGCAGATATTTAATTATGGTGTTTTTTTGCCATTTCTCATGCATTAGGGTTTAAACACTCGGACACTTATTCGGACCCACTTGCATGATGGCAAATATTTAATTATGGTGTTTACTTGCCATTTCTAACGCATTACGGTTTAAACACTCGGACACTAATTTGGACCCTCTTGCATGATGGCAGATATGTAATTATGGTGTTTATTTGCCATTTCTCATGCATTAGGGTTTAAACACTCTGACACTTATTCGGACCCTCTTGCATGATGGCAGATTCGTAATTATGGTGTTTACTTGCGACTTCTCATGCATTAGGGCTTAAACATTCAGACACTTTTTCGGACCCTCTTGCATGATGGCAGATATGTAATTATGGTGTTTATTTGCCATTTCTCAAGCGTTAGTGTTTAAACACTCGAACACTTATCCGGACTCTCTTGCTTGATGGCAGATATGTAATTATGGTGTTTACTTGCCATTTCTCATGCATTAGGGTTTAAACACTCGGGCACTTATTTGGACCCTCATGCATTAGGGCTTAAACACTCGGACACCTATTCGGACGCTCTTGCATGATGGCAGATATGTAATTATGGTGTATATTTGCCATTTCTCATGCATTAGGGTTTAAACACTCGGACACTTATTCGTACCCTCTTGCATGATGGCAGATATGTAATTGCGGTGTTTACTTGCCATTTCTCGTGCATTAGGGTTTAAACACTCGGACCCTTATTTGGACAACTCCTGCCTAATGGCAGATATGTAATTATGTTGTTTACTTGCCATTTCTCATGCATTACGGCTTAAACACTCGGACACTTATTCAGACCCTCTTGCATGATGGCAGATATGTAATTATGGTGTTTATTTGCCATTTCTCAGGCATTAGGGTTGAAACACTCGGACACTTATTCGGACCCTCTTGCAGGATTGCAGATATGTAATTTTGGTTTTTACTTACCATTTCTCATGCATTAGGGTTTTAACACTCGGGCACTTATTTGGATCCTCTTGCATGATGGCAGATATGTAATTCTGTTGTTTACTTGCCATTTCTCATACATTAGGGCTTAAACACTCGGACACCTATTTGGACACTCCTGCATGATGGTAGATAGGTAATCATGGTGTTATATGCCATTTCTCACGCATTAGGCTTAAAACACTGGGACACTTATTTGGACTGTCTTGCATGATGGCATATATGTAATTATGGGGTTGATTTGCCATTTCTCATGCATTAGGGTTTAAACACTCGGACACTTATTTGTACCCTCTTGCATGATGGCAGATGTGTAATTATGGTGTTTACTTGCCATTTCTCATGCAT